AAAAGCGCGTTGGAAAGAATAACGAACAACGCGATGAGAAGAAAATGAAGAAAAGGTTAGGGGATAAGGGGGTGGGAGGAGGACGGGAACGTAAAAAGGGGGAAGGGTTAGGGCGCGAGGGAAAGGATTTTTATTGAATATTTTAAGAATTCTTAAAGCTCGTTAAGTAATATGAGAGAGTGATAAAGATAATAAAAAGCGAAATGGAATTAGCTCGATGAAATTCCGGCTTAAAGTCGCATAGATTTAACAATTTTGAATTAGGTATTCCTCGTTAGGAATATTTTTGTTAGATAACTGTATTACACGGCCAAGATAAAAAGTATTTTACAGATCGCGATAATATCATTTTCGAAGTATTCCACCTTCCTATTATAAAAATTCTGTCATTCTGTCATTCGAAATAGTTCAATTGTAATAAATTGTTATGCAGGATATGTTAATAAAATTTTTGATAGATTATATCAATCGATATATTAACCACTTATCGATTATTAATTTATATCCAATTTTGTTTTCTATCGGGTTAATATTCTTTTCGTTAAAATTATTCAATTCTTTTGACCATTAATTAAAAAATATAATATTGTGAAAAAAAGAATATTGAAATAATAATTGCACGATTGTTTAATAATTAAATATTAATATTACTTTACAAACGTATATTTAATAGAAAATTCTTCGATGAAACATATCAAAATGTGTATAACGAAATGAATATAATCTTTTAATTCGCGTATAAATTGTTAAAAAAATGTAAAAAACGTAAAAATAACACGTGACTGTGTTAGAAATAGTATTTATGTTCGTATGTACTTTTTTGTACTACACGGTAACGTTACCAAGCACTCGTAACACAAGCCAGAGACAATGTTATTACGGTTGATCTTTATCTCCCCTCCAGGTTGTTTATAACATTGCTTTAGCTTTCCTTTATTGTTACTCTTCAGTTTCGTTTCGGCCGTCGTGGCTTACACTTGATTTTATATATATTTTTACAAATTATTCGAATAAACGTACGATAAACAATAGTGCATCGTTAAAAAAGTATCCTTATGATACAAACGTGATAATACATACACAGTAGTGCATTATTTTCTTATCCAGGATTTGCTGCACATTTTCTATAACCAAACGGAATACTCTAAACACGTAAGATAAATAAATCAAAATACTAATTTGTATGTGTCATTTTTTAAATTAATCTTTGATTATTTTTCACGATAATTAAATCAAATTACATATAGCATCTAAGTTAGAAAATAATATATTACATTCTGTTATAATATCATATTAAATTTGTTCTTAATGACAGATTAATCGTATCTAAACTTTATAATTTTTTGACAAGGATTATACACTTCATTCTT